TCTATGGGGTATTGTGAAGAAGAACAATTCATTTGAAATATATGAGTTTGTATGTAATGTATGAATATAATATACAAGTTTCACTTTTTAAATGGAATTACTGAAATAAATCTACTTTTTCATGATATTCTAATTTTATGACCAGCACCTGTATATCAGCTTCACCCATGAAACAAATTTAGGACCGAAGTTAAACATCTCCAAGGTCTTAAAAAGGTAGTTCCACTCCACCTGGTCAAACGCTTTCTCGGCGTCCAGCGTGGGGTCAGAACTTTTGAGGTCTTTTCTAACAGCCCCCACTGGTTTGCTGTTAAAATGGCTGGCAGGATGTTGTTTTCTTCAAATGAGTAGGCATGCAGAGACCGTTTCTGATGAATGAGTCTGTCAACCATGTACTTGGTGCTGCTCCATCTTGTCTGGACATCCTGCTGAAGACGTTTTGGTGGGATGTTCAGTTTTATTTAGATGTCTTCAAGGCTTGAATAAGCCTTGGGGGAATGTTTAAAGTGGCCCACTATTTTTCTCCCATTGGCTAGAGCATCACTTACAGCTCGCTGTCACAACACACCTTCATGGACCACAGGCTGAAGGCTGTGAGCAAAACATCCTAAGCTTGGCACTTGCAGCAGATCCATAGCCTTTTTCATGTTAGCAGCATTGTCTCTTAAAACAACATGGACCTTTGTTTTGTCGATCTTCCAGTCACGCAGCATCTCCTCCATGGCGTTCATGATGGCATTAGCTGTGTGTGAACCTCTGAACTCGCATGCGTGTAACACTGCTCTCCACAATGTAAATTCAGCATCTATCCAGTGCGCAGTCAGACTTAATAAGGACAGCAGACGGTGGTCTGAGCTCCAAATGTCCGTGGTGAAGCTAACAGCATTAGCTTTCTCCACACGGGTGGCAATGCACTTTTGAACTTCTTTATGCATCTGCGGTATAGTTTTGTCTACAATATAGTGGAGGCTAGGCATAATGTAGCGAGGCTCGAGGTGCTCAATTAGCCGTTTAAACCCGACATTACTCACCACCGACAGGGCCTGGTCATCGAGCACAATAAACTGTGCTAGCTTCTCTGTTATGGCTAATGCCTTTTTACCATCCCGGGGCAATTTGTCACGCTTTGCAAATGTTTCGGACAGTGTTGGTTGTTCAAAGGAGCCAGAACTTTGTTTCTTCGCCTCCGTGGCCTTGCGAAAACCCTCATGCTGTATTTTGTGATGCTGCTTCAAATGCGCAAAGAGGTTTGTTGTATTAAATTTCCCCTGCTCTGTCCCACCACGGAGAACTTGCGCGTTACATGTTTTGCACTTGGCAGCAACGTCTTTTTCAGATTTGACCGAAAAATACTGCCACACCGCTGACATCACTGCTCTTCCTTGCTACTTTCTTGTTAGCCCACTGGCTGCTCTGCTGTTGTGTTAGCCTGCTGCTCTGCTGTTGTGATCACATGGGGTCTGCACGCTGGTTCGAAGCGCTGCTGGATAGAGAAGCTGGAGCGGAGTCATTGGACTGCTGGATTGAACTGCTTATATCGGAGCGCTTATATCGGACATTTTTTATGCAGGCCGATAAAATCCGATACTCGTTTTTTGGCTGATATCGGACCGATATCCGATATCAATATCGGAACGGGACACCCCTACTTTTATTGTCTGTTGGATGTTTATAATTGTGAGAATGTTTATAAACATTCTCGTTATTAAGATTATTTTCTTGGTGTTCTGCCTTTTTAGCTATTCTAGCTAATTTTAGGGGGGTTTTTTTTTTCAGCTCAATTCAACGTTTTTGTATTTTTAAGAGTTACTGTTTTGAGCAGTTGAATTTTTTTGTTTTATTTTTTGATTTCTGTTGTTTGAAATAAATAGTTTTTGAAAATAGGAGCAGATATTATAAGATCTTTTTCTTCTTCTGCTACCTTTCTTTTTATTTGACTTGTATTGTTTTGTTGTATGTAAATGTGTTTTGTTTTTGTTTTTAAATGAAATTAATAAAAAAAAACTTGAAAAATTTTAACTCTCCTGAGTTTAAAAAAAAAGGGCAGAGGGTAGCCTCTGCCCTTTTTTTTACTCCGTAACCCTATGCTCTATTCTCTATGCAAAGGTTTTTGTTGGAACCTCATAATGTGTCCTCCGAGGACGTAGCATGAGATGTTCTTTTTTTTTATTCCTCACCTATCCTAATGTTGGCAACTCATTTTTCTAATGCAAAGAATGCAGCACCTTCATATGGCTGCAGCCTCTGGCACCTCTTTAAAAGGTCTGACCTGCCGATTCCGATTTTGGCCGATACAGATTTTTTTAAATAGCTGACACTGTCAGATGTTATAAATCCACAATACAACTTCAATGTTCAAATGTTATTTTACTGAAATACTTTGAACAATACCCTTGAAACAGTACAAACTTGTTTTAATTGGACATTTGGTAGTATCACAGCAGAGTAAAAGAGGACAGTGGCTGATTTTCAGACCTTTGTGGAGGTAAATGGTAAATCGACTGTACTTGTATAGCGCCTTTCTACCCAACCAGGATACTCAAAGTTCTTCACACTACAATCTGTGTCCTCATTTACCCATTCACACAGCACTCTACTAGATCTCCTACAAAGCTAACATGAACAATCATCTATGGAGACTAATCAGTGCCAATCACATTCATACACTGATCGGACACACATCAGAGACATTGGGGTGAAGTGTCTTGCCCAAGGACACAACAACTGAGACAGCTGGATGGGGGATCAAACCAGCGACCTACCGGTTCCAGGACAACTCCCCTTAACCACTCTGCCACAGCCGCCCCAAGGTAGAAAAGCCAATTTTTTCCGCAGATGTTCTCCATCAATCTTATCTAAGGATCAGCCGATCTCCAATCTCCCAAACATAAGGAAATCGTTGTGCACCCCTACTTTCAATTCCATTTAAAAATTCAATTTTTAAAAGAAAACTAATGCACAACTGTCCAGGAAAAGCACCCTCCACTTCAACATGATAAGTTATTTTCCTCAGACTCTGCATAGGGTTCTGGAACCTTTGGACTAGCACAGCAGCAGAATTGGATCTAAACGAAGCATTAATTAAACATCCCTCAGTTTTCAGGTGTCATCGGCTTGATCTTCTTTCTGGAGCTGACTGCGGCGATCCTAGCTGTGGTATTCCAGAGTCAGGTCCGAGCGTGGATCAATGAGTTCTTCCTGCAGAACATCAAGGCATATAGAGACGACATTGACCTGCAGAATCTCATTGATTCCCTGCAGACAATGGTAATAATCTGTCAGGCAGCTGAGACTGTTCTGTTCTTCTCAAGTAGGGGTCTCTGTAGAACATGTTGTCCTGTGGGCGGAGACGGCCCTGCTCGTAAGTGGCGGAAATCTTGATGTGGGCGGAGACGGCCCAAGGGACGTGATTGGTCGGATTGACGGTGGGGTTTGAGGAGGCTGGAGGCAGCGAGGAGTAGCTTGGTCGAGTCGGGCAACATGTTTTTTAAGATTAATTTTAGTCATAACTTGAGAAACGAAAGTGCTAGCTGCATGAAATTTGAAAGTTGTACGTGTGAAGGGATGTGTAATGATATAGCTCGGTCAAAACATCCCTAACCAGCCTGTAAAAATATATTGATTTTTAGTGATCTTTTTACAGGCTGGTTAGGGATGTTTTAACCAGGCCATATTGTTACACATCCCTTTACATGTGCGACGTTCAAATTTCTTGCAGCTAGCTCTTTCCTATCTCAAGTTATGACTAAAATTAATCTTAAAAAACATGTTGCTTCCTGCCCGACTCGACCAACCTACTCCCCGCTGCCTCCCGCCTCCTCAAACCCCACCATCAATCTGACCACTCACGTCTCTTGGGCCGTCTCCACCCACATCAAGACCTCCACCAATCACGTCTCTTGGGCCGTCTCCACCCACAGGACAATATGTTCTGCAGAGACCTCCTTCTCGTTCTTATGACAGAGCCTTTAACAAAGTGTTGGTTCTCTCTGAACAGAACCACTGCTGCGGTGCTCAGGAGCCAGATGACTGGAATCTGAACGTTTACTTCAGGTGTAATGAAACTCACCGCAGCAGAGAGAGATGTGGTGTTCCCTTTTCCTGCTGCATATCTGATCCTGCTGTGAGTCAACCATTGACCCATATTGATCTGTGATATGAGATGTTGATCAGAACAGTTCATGAGTAAACCTGGTTCTGGTTTCCCTTTCAGGAATCTGTGGTGAACACTCAGTGTGGCTACGATGTGAGACTGAATCAACCGGTGAGCTCTTTTCCTTTGGTTTGTTCACCTAATAGTGTCAGTTGTTCTGATAGGAACTTTGTTCCTGTGACCATGTTAATGATATCCAGTGTTCTGATAAGAACTTAAACTCTTCAGAATTTTAGAATATATTTCATAATTTTATTTATTTGCGCTATATATATATAAATCCTGTGCAGAAGAGGTAAGAAGACCCTAGGGTCTTATTAAACCAGCTCTATGACATGACAGAATCAACAGAGCACAAGAACAAAAAAGTCAGCACATGACAAATGTGTACAAATTAAATCAGATACAATTTGAAATCAACGTAATTTTTAATTTTTTTTAAGAATGAATGTCACTGGTGGTATGTTGTTCGAAAGTGAGGGTCCTCTGTACTTGAGTGTACTTTGCTTTGTTGTTATTCTTCATAATGGTAAATAGAAGTTGTGACAGTAGCTACGTTTACATTGACATAAGTAATCGGATTAAACGGTCGTCCTGAATAAAAATGCGTCATGTATACAGCCCGTTCGGATTATCCTGATCCGAATGAGCTCGACCCGAATTAATTTTTAATCCGAATAAGAGGGGTGGGTTATGCCGATTGATAATCGGAATGACGTGCATGTAAACACTTAATCGGATCATCTTATTCTGATTGCGGAAAACTGACCTGAGTGCGCAGGTCTTCTGACTTTATCCATCCGGTTCTGCTCTTTAGAGGAGGTGGGGCAGTTGCGCTGCGCCACGCGGAACTTTTCCTCCACACTCTCTTAACAGATGAAAAAGGAGACAAACAGCAGACGTTGCTTTGCAAAAAAWAAAAAWAAAAAACACGTAYTGCTKCATCTGCAGCTCAACCGAGGAGGAACGATGTCTCTACCATTATTAAAAGCTGACTGACGTGTCCGTCCTGAGTGCACAGAAGAGCTTTGTTTACGTTTGTAACACGGAAGCAGAGCTGAAAGTTTACAACACTGCGCATGTCCGGACTTTTATTCTGAATGAAAGTCTGGTGCATGTAAACACTTGCCATGATCGGATTGTGTCCATGTAAACAGTACATTCGGATTATTTAATCCGAATACATTTCAATCCGATCAAAACATTTTGTGCATGTAAACATACCTTTAGAGGCACGTGGTGGAATCGTCTTTCAGCACTAAAAATAAACTGATTGATTTTACCCATGTCAAATAAAGCATATTTTTAAGATGTTAGTCGTTGTTTTAATGATTTTCATTGTCGTTGCATGACTAGTAATGACCCAGTGATTTATCATGATTCCTAATGAAAGTTTGTGTTTTGTAATTGGTTTAAATGATAATTCAATAATGTTCAACGGTAAAGTGACACTTTAGTTCTAATAAATTAGCAGTTACCAAAAAATAAAACCATTTTACACTTTATTGAAAAATATTTACAAAAATTCTAATAGAAGTATTTTTTTTAAATAGGAAAAAATTTTAAACACAGCAAGACAGTATTCATAATTAATAGCCTCAAGGGAATAAATCCCCTGTATTATCCATGAAGATCTGGAAAGCAGTGGACCCCATGTAATAAATAAATTACTCCCCGACGTCTGCTCCTTCTCTTCAGCCTTTTTTTTGATACCGCACATTAGACTACGGGTTGGGTTTTGCCAGCCCAGGACCCAAAATGTTTTCAATGCATTCCAATCCAGCCTCCATTCTTCACCAACAGTAAATAAAAATGCACCCAGAAAACAAAAAATGCCTAATTACATATTCCTGTCCAATTCACAGAGATGCCTATTCGCATTGGATTAGTATTATCAGAGGATCTCTGAATTCAGCAAAATAGGTTAGGCAATTTGCAGGGGAATTTTTACTTTACAAATTACTGACGCATGGTAAATAGACTGTACTTGTATGGCACCTTTCTACCCAACCAGGACACTCAAAGTGCTTCACACTACAATCTGTGTCCTCATTTACCCATTCACACAGCACTTTCTCAGATCTCCTATAAAGCTAACATGTGCAATCAACTATGGAGGCTAAGCAGTGCCAGTCACATTCATACACTGATGGGACACATCAGAGGCATTGGGGTGAAGTATCTTGCCCTAGGACACAACTGAAACAGCAGGATGGGTGATCGAACCGGCGACCTTCCGGTTCCAGGACAACTCCCCTAACCACTCTGCCACAGCCGCCCCATGGCATTAACAACACAGACAATCTCTGTAATTATTACAAATAGCATGGGGTCCCTAGGTAAAACTAATTCCGTCAGAATAGGGCTTAAGAATAATAATTTAAAAAAACACAGATTTCAGGAGGCATTGTCATGCCCTGCAGTGCTCTGGCTCGCTCAATCAATCCAATCAATAAATCAGTCAGTCAATAAATCACTCAACCAATCAATCAATCAATCAAATTTATTTGATACATAGCAAGAGGAAGGAGGTGTTTTCCCGGGAGGTGAACACCTCCCGGGAAAACCCTCAGCGTTTCCTGGACTGAGTGAAGCTGACCCCCCACTCACAGAGAAAGAAAAAAGGCGGCGGTGTCAGTCAGACAGCATGACCCGCCCTGCTCTGTTCTGATTGGGTAAAACTTTGACTCTGGTTCTCTTTATTGGGTGAAAGAACCGTCAGTTTAATCACTAGATGGCTTTAACAAGTTTTTTTTCCCCGTTCGTTTTTACAATGACGAGCACCTGCTACTTTTTTCTTGGTTGTCCACCGGACAACTGGGAGGCGGGATTTGGTTGTCCAAAACGAAAATAGGTTGTCTTGGACAACCTAAACAACTTTATGTCGACCCCTGAATAGAGATGTTCATGAAACCTAAATTTAGAGCATTTTTGAAAGAACGGTGCACCTCAATCCAAGGAGTGAGATTGTGGAATAATTTGGAAGATGATGTTAAAAGAGCCACATCAATGTACATGTTTAAGAGAATGATAAAGTCTAGATCGTTTTAAAAAATGAAATGGGGCAGCTGTGGCAGAGTGGTTAGGGGAGTCGTCCTGAAATTGGAAGGTCGCTGGTTCGATCCCCCGTCCAGATGTCTCAGTTGTTGTGTCCTTGGGCAAGACACTTCACCCCTAATTGCCTCTGATGTGTGTCCCATCAGTGTATAAATGTGATTGGCACTGACTAGTCTCCATAGTTATTGTATATGTTAGCTTTGTAGAGACCTAATAGAGTGCTGTGTGAATGGGTAAATGAGGACACAGATTGTAGTGTAAAGCACTTTGAGTGTCCTGGATGGATAGAAAAGCACTATATATGTACAGTCCATTTACCATTTAATATGTAGCCATTCAATTTGTTGTTCTAGAAAGATTCAATGTTTTGTTTTGTTAACTGAAGATTATTATAGTTTGAATTTATACTTGAGGAAAAAGGAGCAGATATAAGATTTTTTTTCTTCTCTCTGCTGCCTTTATTTTCATTTTATTTGTATTTTCTTTTTTTATTTACATAGAATTTTGTTTTTTATGGAATGAATAAAGTTTGAAATGGAATTGAATTGAAACTGTAAACTATTAGATTTCACGTAACTAATATTGTACTGTACACATCTTTCTTTATCAGAAGGCTCCAGTGTGTTAAAGGCTCATGCATATTCCCTCCAAACTGCCGAAATGTGTTTGGATTGTCGCAGTTTCTTGACGAAAATTGCATCAGTCTGTTCGCATTGTTGATATTTCGGCAGATTCTGACACAACCCGCGGTCGAACTTTTTACCCCCCTCCACATAAGAACACATAAGAACTTTTTTGTGTGATTGTTCAGAATTTCGTGGGAGTGTTTGGGCTGAAAGTGCTCAGACGCTGCATTTTGCTTCAACTACTCTCTTAAAAAAAAAGGTGACTCGCTTCCAGAGCCGACTGTTGAACCAGGAAGCAGCGGTTTTTAAAGAGAGTCAAACGTTTAAAAACTCATGGGTGGAGACAAAATGGGCATTGTGCATGGTGGACTCTGATAAAAACTTTGGAATTTTAACCGCAACAGATTTGTGGGTAAATGACATCGGGTGATAAGTCTCTGACATTTTCTTCTGCACTGTGAACTCCAGCGGGAGAAATCCCCCTGCAGTGACGAATGCTGCAGCGGGAGGGGTTTTGCCAGGAGGATGAAGGTATGTGCGAAAACGAAGGCCGAAAAACCATGCAACTGCGCATCGACTGTTCGGCTTCGGGGGGAGTATGCAGGAGCCTTTAACCTCTTCACTGCCTGTTGCTATATCTTTTGCAAGATGGTATGCTTGAGCACCTGAGAGCTTGTACAAGTTCTTAGTGATGCTCCAGACAAGTTCTTTGCATGCCATGATGTGCTTCTCTGATCATGCAGCAGTGCAGTTCCCTCTGGCAGAATGGAGACCCTCTACAACAAGAGAGCCAGAACTTTTTCCCCGAGAGTGCCAAAATGAAAATATATCCGAGGGCTACAGGCCAAATGCAATATAATACACAAAATGCTAACATTTTTTAAGTAAAGTACATTTATATTTTCATGATTAAGCTAGCAGGCAGTGTGGTGGCCCATGATTTTTTATTTTTTCCCCATAGATATAGTTTGAGGTACGCTCAGACACCAAATGCTCATGGGACATTTCATAAATTGCTATTTGTGGTCTTATAAAGTGTGCAAATCTACATGTGTACTCTAATCTAAATGTGTACTGTAGTTACTTGTTTTGCATATGTAATTTTAATATAATACAAAGATAAAGGTAGCACCATGAGTAAAGATTATCTGCACTACTACCAGTCATTCCATCCATTGGCCCAAATGACTGTTAGGCCAATGGATGGAATGACTAAATGAAAATACAGTGTTTCTACATGAAATGACAGATTGCAAATTAATAACCAGGGCAACTGCTGGTGGGCCAAATCAAATGGCTTGGTGGGCCAGTTTTTGCCCACAGGCCCCACTTTGGGCACCTCCGCTCTACAAGATCTGATCAGCCTCCTCCGGACACCCACCAGCTGTCGTCCTGGTTGCAGTCATGTCACACCACCTGGCCTTGGCCTCTTGGACTGTGGTTCTGTAATCACTGGATCAACCTACTCATCTGGCAGTGATGAAAGGTGATCTCAAAACGAACCCCCAAAATTTGTTACGGGTCCCAAGATGGTACCACAGCAATAAAAACAGCCCACCTGTAAACAGGCAAATAAAGACAGAGATGACAGGTTGGTTGCTGGTGATCAGCTCCTCATCTGAAGGCAGAGCGGAGGCCCGCCGCCTTAGTGGAACAGATGCAACGGTCTGATTCACTCACTCACAAGCACTAGTCCATCTCAGGGCAATAGCAATCCAACATTACTTATCCAATAAAACAATCATGAGAAAAAAAAACAATGAACACACTTATGTGGTCACCTTATATTTTTGGGGTGCGCCACAAGTATCTGGTTTGGGAACCTCAAGGTGTTGTCTTTGCAGATGATGTGGTTCTGTTGGCATCTTCAGGCCATGATTTCAGCGTGTCCTGTGGCAAGCAGTTTGTAGCAAAGCCTTAAGTAGCTAGGTGCAGTTTGATGTCTAGATTTTCCTGCTGGACCTGCAGCTGACCCTGGAAAAGTGGAAGATCGGGGATGGATGGACTTTGTGTGAAATGCTAAAATTCTCTAATAACCTGTGTTTTCTTATAGCTGGAGTGGGAAAGTCTAATCTACACCAAAGGTTGCATTGCGGCATTGGAGGAGTGGTTACCTAAAAACCTATACACAGTGGCCGTTGTGTTCGTAGTCATCTCTCTGCTGCAGGTAACAAACTCTCACCTGAAGGTTCATGATACAGTCACGATAATAAAACCATTTGAAATTTAAAGGGATCCATGATTAGTTGTAACATTAGACTTTATTTGATAATCATTTATTTTAACTGTAAAATAAAGACTGTAAAATGCTGTAGGCTGTTTAGCTTTGTAAATTTTTTAAAATATATTTTAACACAGACGGAGCCATTTTATTTACACGCAAAGCATTCTGGGTAAATGATGAAATGGATAGGTCCTCGGTGTGAGCAAGCTATATCCACCCTGAAGGTTAATCTTGGACAATATCTGACGATCGACTTTTAAATGAAACCAGAGAGCGTTGACAGGAGAAGGTAGAAATGACTCAACCTTCAACTGAAAATGTGGATGGAGGACAACAGAGCTGCTTCATGGAAGAACCTCAGCTTAGCCTGTTAGCTTTAGTGCCGATGCTATATTGCCTTATATGTATTAGCTCGGTGCTAGCGTAACAAACTAACAAGCTGAACTGAGGTCCTCCATCCATATTTTCAGTTACAGCTGAGTCATTTTTGCGTTCCCCTCTCATGTGGATGGAGGACCTCAGTGACAAGAGGAGAATGTGTAGCGCTGAGCTAATACATATATATGGTGATAGAGTCGGGACTAACGCTAAAGCTAACAGGCTAAGCTGAGGTTCTTCTTCCATGAAGCAGCTCTGTTGTCCTCCATCCATATTTTCAGTTACAAGCCGAGTCATTTTTGCATTCCCCTCTGTCA